GTGTATTGGTGAGACTTCGCTTTTGTCAGGATCTGGGAGGAAATCATTCGGTAATCACTCGCCCCTCGTGGTCTCTATTGACCTGTGGATTTGACGAAGATAAGTAGAGTCAAGACCAATCAATACGCTCTGAAATCTATCAAAATTTAGGCTCTTAGTTTCTTTTGATGCCCAGTAAAGTAAAGACCAAACGAAAACTAGTATATCGTAGTGCAATCCTAGTAGAAACGAAATGCCAAGCTCGCCGTGTTTGTAGTACTATGAAATGTCAATCGGGTATGTGTAGCACGGATACGGAGACCGTATTGGATTGATGGCCGAGGCACAAACGCTTAAAGTACTGGATCTGCTTGTGCTTTACGTAAACTAAGCATGTATTAGCCAGGAGAGCAGGTTAATGTATAAGTACTGTCCTTCGAGATGTGAAACTAGATTCTCGGAAAATCATTTTCAATGCTCTCGGGTGAGCTGTTCTTCGGAATATATAGGATTGAATAAATTTCTCCAAACTTGGTATTTTGTTAGGCTAACATTATCTTTTGCTTTTTTTAACACCGCGACATCATACCTTATTTCGAAATTACCAATACTGGTCCTCCGGTAATGTATTATCCGTGCTTTATACTAATACCGTGTTTTACACAGGGATGCTCTAGATTTCTAGGTTTCTGTTGGTATTGTTGCGTCCAAGCAATAACTTGAAAATGATTACCGTCGAGTATTGGCAAAGACTAGTTACAGTAAGAATAAACTTCCACGGGTACTGTACTCCGCAGACCTGTAAAATCTACAGCACACCAACTAAATGTTTGCGATGTTGTTTGTGCTCGTAATTATATATAAAAGCAAACTCCTTAAAGAATATACTTTGTCAGTTGTTTGGCAAATCTACATTCAGTAAGAACGAGTAGCGACGGGTGTTTTACTTAGCTTACAGCAATGTTACGTCGTCGCTGTTGCTGCGCGCTTGTTCCCAATAGAGTTGGAACTCACCCTGAAAGGAAATGGTTCCACGAAATAAAGCTGTCCAAGTATTTGTGTTCTGGTTTACGATAACAAATACGTTAACGTCGAGAGAGAGACAGAAAGAGAGAGAGAGAGTTTACGGCGAGAATGATAAACTAAGTAGGAAGCGAGCTACAGCAACGAGGTAGGGCCAAATTTTGGATTCGCACGACGGGAGGCTCATCAAAACTACGGAATACTTATGAGCTGCTAATCTTACAAGTGGTCTTGTGTTGACGACTGACTTGCACAATAACTCTGGCTTTATTCGTCTAAGGTAACATCTACACCACCCAACCCCGCCCTGAAGGTATTGTGTACTCGAAGGTAAAGATATAGGTTTACAGACAACCGCCAACAATGATCACACTAAGATGCCACTGCAATATTTGGGTACTTAATACGGTGTGTTGGAACGTTAACCGTAAGTAGTTACGGGCTGGGGAGAGCTGAAGTTTGCAGCCATGAGAACGAGGTGCAAT